GCGCTGAGTTTCAGACATTGTTATGGATCCGCTATTGTCGTCATTGCAGCGATTGGACACGGGACACTACCCCAATGCTTCTCGAGCTATCGATTATCACGAGCCCAAATCGAGCGTCCACGCCATGCTCGGCTCCAATCTATGAGCGGCATTCAAATATCGTCACTGGGCGGTACTGCTACCGCCCAGCTACGTCATCAGGTTTTTGCGAAGGAGAGATTGAATGAAAACACTCGGTTTTGTCCTCAAAATTACAGCGCAACAAAGGAGTTTCTTGGTCAGTGGCGTAGAGTGCGAGTATCCTTGTGTCCCACTGGTGGCAGTAAGCTCGTGTAAAGTGAAAAACAGTCCAATTGGATATCGTTGCACCGCCCCTTTAAGTGTACAACGCTTACAGTGCTGCTGGCACGAGCGTGGGGCTTGATCTCGTTGATCATTTGCACGCGTTCTGGCGCAAACAGAATCATGGATGAAGCCACGCGCTCGCGCCAGTAGCATTGACAGCGTTGTGGATTAAGTATGAATCGGACTCATACTACATTTAACCAGAGCTAGACGTTGTGGAAAGAACAGCGGCGGTGCCCCATAGGCCGTGTTTTGCCGAGAGTGTTAAAAGCCGCGCGTGGCTCTGGTGTCGGAATCCCGTTGAGCTCGTGCTGCCCTGCTTTGCACGCAAAAATTAAAAAAAAAAGTCACGTACTCAACTCGAACAACCACTCAGCACAAGCTCAGCGATTGTTTGAGCTGTACATGACCTGGACAGTGGCATTATTTGACAAGCAACTAACTCTATGCATGTTAAAATGACTTTGACTTGCAGAGAGCCTGCATCTCAACAACTAACGACTAATGCTGATATACGAATGAAACGGAAAACAATTATCAGGCAGGCATTCTATTTGTCAACAGGCTGTGCCGGCTCCGCATTTAGGCGAAGGAGCCGATCCGTAATAAGATAATACAAACAAACATATGTCTTGGAATTACTTTTGCACCCCCATAAGATGTCTTTTTGAAGGCTCGATTCAGAAGCTACTTGATTTGAAGAGTGCCTCAGCTTCACAAATGCATTTGGAGTAATGGCCCTCGCCAAGCCTGAGCTCTGTCTCAGGTTTAAGCTGAGGTAGAGTATAGAAGTTATAGGCTATAGTCACTGACAGAATGAGAACGACAGGGAGAAGTCTGAGTTGTTTCGCCTACAGCATTATTAAATGCACCAGCTTCGATAACATGTCGATGCTTCCTACATTGACGTTGTTAACTCATCCTTTGCTGCGTTCAAGTTTTCTCTTCGACATCTTTAAATTTCAACCAATCTTTTGAAGCGTTCAAGCTTTTTCTTGCCAATCTGTAGAATTATTCTTCCTTTTTGCTCTATGTTAATTGTGCGTCATTAGAAAGGCAAAAGCTGTTTATGAGCACAAAAAATAAACTAATGACTGAATGAATGAGTGTCGCCGACTCGTGGGTCTCGAGCGTGCACACATGCAGCCAAAGTAGGGTGGAAAGTACAAGCTCTTGCTGGAGGCCGGGCGTTCGAAAGAGACGTCCGGCCATTATCTTTTTGTCATTTTCATACGTTTGTCATTTGTCATACGCGAAATGAATTGAACGCGCTTTAAACTGACAACATAAATCGCTTAGTTAATTTATCGCACTGGGATTTACTACAGAGGTGCCTGATTTTGGCGGAAGCTTTCACTAAAATTATGGAAAGATTGGCTCACCTGAGTAAATCGAGAATAATCAAAAACTATGTTTTCGGTAAATTTTTCTCTCTGTACACTAAAATAATAGCATCAGTTACTGTGGCGCTTATTTGGGTCAAATGAAGTGATGAATAGGTAAGCGAATTCTATTTTCTTTTTCTTTCACAATTTTTAGTCGTAGTAAATGCCGGAATGACCCACAACAATTTTCTTATGGTTTCGAGATAAAAGGTTTACGATATTTTTTTCATAGACAAAACCAGTTTTTATCTTTTTTCTTTCGACTCCGTGGGTTTCATGTATTCATACTCTCTATTAATAAATGTGCAAGCTTTAAACACCTTTGTAGTAAATCGCAGCGCGATAAGTTAAGGAGCCAACTTATGCTGTCAGTTTAAAATGCGTTCATCCATTTCGGCCACGCTGTACTATGAAATATTTTAAGTGCAGGGAAAAATATTTGAAATGTGCAGTCCGCATTTCATCGTATCTGAGAGTTCTGTTAGAGATAAGAACAGTGTATGTCTATTGCCATCCACCATTTTCCAAAGTATTGTTCCCGCCTATGGGGGCATCTACATTCTACACAAGTAGGTACGCGAGTGGGTTCAAGACTGGAGAGGCTAGAAAACAAAGCGCTCACAAAGCATCTCTAACCCTTTCGACCATACGGGTACATACGTCGCAGTTTCAGGTTTTTTAGAGAAAATTCCTCAGAACAAGCAAATATCGTTCACGGCTGAGGTAGACCTCTGAGTCCTGATTCCCCCAGATTGTGCGAACCTTTCAAAGCACTGCGGTACAACTTCTAAAAGAACTCTGCTCGGGTGCGGCGCGAGTCCATACTGCCCGCTTCAGTGAAAGAACACTGTCAAGGTAAAAACGCCAGCCCATACCGTACGGGCGAAAACGTTTAATGAAATAAGATAAAATTCATAGCATTCAATAGACACTAATAGGCGCAAAATTGATGACACCACGCTTGTTGTTATTTGTTTTATCCTTCCATGCGATCAAAAGCAACCTTCTCCTCTTTTCTCCGATACACTTCCGTGTGTCACCTGATGTTAACATTCCAAGTTGGCTGACCGTACTGGTTTAAGAAAAAATGACATATGAAAGAAACCTCTCTTCCCCAGGTTAGGCAAGAGAGGCTCTTGCGCACTACGTATCAGATGGCAGATTCTTTTTGGAATAGGTTTCCGTAACGCAGAGTCTCAAACCTAGATATACTCGGCGTCAACTATTATGTGCTGCATTGTAAAGGCTAGAGTAGCTTCCACAGTGCTTCCGCCCAGCACTTTTGCGAGGGCATGTGGTTTAGTGTTGTATCTCATTTTCATGGTCTAGACTCAGGATCTAGCTTTGACAGAGTTGAAGCACTGTGGGAGCTACTTTAGCCTTGACAGCGTAGCACAATATAGTTGACACCGGCTAAAGAAGCGTCGAGGGATGCGCACATGCAAACTGTGCATTTATGAAAAGTTGATTCGAGAAACGATGACAACGAATATTTACTCATGGCGGCCGCACTTACAATTCTGAAGCGTAAGCACTTGTCTTTAAATAGCACCGCTTTTTGAGAAGCATTACCAAGACGCCCGTATGACACTGCTGATTCCAGGGTTAAATGCCCATGACCCTCCTCAGGTTGGAGACCTGAGACTTTGTGCCAAGCCAGGTGTTCATCTTGCGCAGAGGCTAAATGCAAAAATGAAGATATTTATTGGATAAGATAGACTCCCATAACTTGAACTGTAGGCGAGCAGAAACTCACTAAATTTCCAAAAGCCCAATGTATTGCGATGCTACTTAGTGCAAAAGTGCGACTAGGTGTTTAAAACTTAGAAAATATGAGCAAATGAACGATCCTCGTTCAGATGAGAAAACAAGAACGCGTTTTTGGCCATCTATTATGCCCTCTTGTTCGCAGACGGGGCAAACAGCTCTCGTCAACCGGGGTCGTTCTGCCGGGAAGTTCATCCGCTAATATTATCACTCCAAACGTCCACTGCCTATTCGCACCTCTGTGCTAAATCGCAGTAGGATACGTTTAGAATCATATTCTAGCGGACACATGAAAGTGGGCTCGAAGCATCTGTATACAGGCAGAGCTGGCGTCGGATCACGAATGTCTCAACCAAAATAAAAAGCAAAAAAAAAAACAAAAAAAAAAAACAAAAAAAAACGGCAAATACTCATATCCGTAGCCTAGTTCATATATATTCCAATAAAGGATAAATTACCAAATGACACTGCCAGTGTCCTCATTTTGTATAAACGTAACTGACATGGTAAACACTAACGCGAGTATGAGTAGGCCAAGACAATACTCGCGCCGCTCGCAGATATGTACTCGAAGGAGGCACCGCCAAGTGTGGCACATGCTCGACAGTATTCGTTATCTCGCCGATAAATCGCTCAAACCCATAAGAAAGGTTGTATTGTGCTTACCGCTGCGATTGAACGAACTGCGCGTTACCACAACTAGTTTTCTTTTCCGAAGCTTCGTTTATCGGCACGCTTTAAAACTTCCAGTATTCTAACTTCTAAAAGTTGAGCTCCTGCATTGGTAACATTCAAAGGAGTGTCATACAGATGAAAAGAAAAACAGAATGCAAAATGATAAGGAGACGAGACCTCTTGACAGCTTGGCGCTGTCAGATCCGCCGCCGCCGCCGGTTCTCTGCCGCCGAGGCGGAGGCACACTTAAGCAGGCCATGGCTGAGTGGGCTGGTTGGTACCTGTATACCTGAAAAAGGGGCTAAAAAAAACTTGGACGCTAGAAAGGAAGAACAGGACCAAGCCGGCACCTAGCAGGCCAATATTGCTGCTGGGTGCTGTCGGCGTCGTCAGCGGTGGCGGCTGCAGCGGCCTCGGCAGCCGAATCGACGCCTGCTTTGCTTACGGCGTTTTAGCTGGGGAGTGTTGTTCGGAGGGGCGGTGTTTTTGAACCTCCACGACGCTGCTCGAAGTGCACCCTGGCGAAGACCCTCGAGCTGGCTGATGAACGTTGGTTGCGTGGACGAAACTACACACAACGCGAAGATTTCCCAAGGTGACTCAAGTGAGAAATGTAATGAGGGCTTGGGTGGAATATCACCAGGAGCATCTGACGGAAGGTTATTGCATTGCTAACGGAAGCCGGCCGAATCATATAGGGGAGTCTTCCCCGCTCTGTTGCCATCTCGGTCATAAATGCAAGGGGGGTTCGGTGCCGGCATGGGCAACGCAGCACGCTTATGCTTCCTTCTGCTGCAGATCTTCGCTGCGGCATGGTCCGTCGAAGAGATGCCTCATCCCCTGACTTCCAATCAACGCGGTTTTGAGGAAGGAAGCCAATTCCCCTCGTCACCGACAACATCAGCGGACTTCTTGCCTGGCGCAACGTTCGTCTGGCAACAAACTGGAACGTTATCTTGTGACATCAGTCTACAAAAGGAGCAACCGTCCGCTTCTCGGACGGGGTTCGGTGCCGGCATGGGCAACGCAGAACGCTTACGCTTCCTTCTGCTGCAGATTAGTCCTGTTTATTTAGAAGTTGCTCGTTATTCCTCGAAACGCCAGCCGGCATCGTTCCACAGTGTCCTTGTAAACTTGTGTTCCTGGTGTCAGAATTTTCTGTCAAATCCTTGTACTACACTTGTAGAATTGACATTGATTCTCTCCGGCGACGTCGAACTTAACCCCGGGCCCCTTACGGACGCCCAAATCCAGAAATTGCTGAAGGCAGTTGACCTACTACCAAAACTGGATAAAGGACAGGGAACTCTAATAAACGACGTGGCAGAAATAAACCGGAATCAGGTTCGACTCGACAAAAAAATCGAAGCCCTGAGTAAGAAATTTATTGCGATGGAAGCGGAAATAGCTCTGTTAAAAAGCTTCAAAGATGATATGCAGGAAATCGGTGCCCTCTCAACCAGTCTATCAGCGCAAGTTGCTGCGGTCTCCTCTAGACAGGATGACACAGAAAACAGATCAAGAAGAAATAATTTATTATTTTACGGAATCAATGACGTTGAAACTCTTTGGAACCTCTTTAGAAATAAAGTAAACTCCTTAGTCAATGCATTTATTCCTTCCAAACTACTCGGTTGCAGGCGACGTAGAGACAAGCCCTGGATGAATGGAGAATTGCGTACCTTGGTTAAAAAGAAGAGGCGTGCATACCTGAAATATCGACAAAGGAATGACACATTTTCACGTTTACAATTAGCCGAATTAAATAAACAATTTAAAACAAAATCGGATGAATGCAAACTGAAATTTTATTCCTCTCTTGACGAAAAACTAAGAAAAAACCCGAAAGAGCTTTGGAAATATGTTAAGTCAAAAAATAAGGCCTCAATCGGCATTCCCCCCATTAGTGATTCCGGGCAACTTGCAAGTGAAGAAGAGGAAAAAGCTACACTCTTAAATAATTATTTCCATTCCATATTTTCATCCGTAGTTAACATGGAGCATCTGATAACTCGCGAAGGGTTCCGTGACAAGATGGATGAAATCGAAATATCTTAAGACGGAATACTAAATTTGGTGAACGAATTAAAGCTCAACAAAGCAAGTGGTCCCGACGGTATACCCAATCGTGTTCTCACATCATGCTCTGGAATCACCTCATTTTACTTAGAAGTCCTTTTTAAAAAGTCTCTCTCGAGTGGATGGCTTCCTAGCCAGTGGAAAACAGCGAACGTAGTGCCCATACATAAAAGCGGCCCAAAAGACCATGTCCAAAACTACAGACCTATTTTCCTCCTTTGTACGTGCTCCAAAGTAATAGAACACATAATTTATAGCAACATTTTTAATCACCTGGAAAAAAACTGTTATCTTACTACCGCACAACACGGATTTAGAAAAGGGTTTTGTTGCGACACGCAGTTGGTTGAGTTCTACCATGACCTTGCAACATCATTTGATAACGGGCTTCAAGTAGATTGCGTTTTCCTTGATTTTCAAAAAGCATTCGATACACTACCTCACGCGTTGATTATCTATAAACTAGCAACGTTAAACATTCCATCCAACATTCTTGCATGGCTCAGCGATTACCTATCTCATAAAAAGCAATCTGTTTTAATCAGCGGCAAAAGCTCGGGTAATGTTGGGGTTACGTCCGGAGTACCATAGGGGTCTATATTGGGACCACTTTTATTTTTAATTTTTATCAATGATATCACTATAGTCGGTTGCAAGCTAAGAAAAAACCTGAAATGCCTCTCAGAGGAAAATGTAATCCTACGCCGAGAAACGCCAGCCAATCGTTTTCATGACGTCACGATTCCGTGGACCAATCGCGATTCTTTTGAAAAAAAAAAAAAAAAAAAAAAGCTCAACATGGCTGCTGGCCTTAGCAACGCGACGCTAGTTTCTCGTGTCAATTATTCTGCTTTTTTGCACCGTGTTTTACGTGCCCGAGGTTACGCCACGAAATCTTAATGGTATCGGCTTGCGTTTGCAGCAGTTTTTGCGCGACAACGTGAGAATCCAGCGACGCTATCGCCAACGGAAATTTCGAAGGGGGCGCGAGGCTTAGCCTTGCTGAGAGGTGAGAAGCTGCGCCGGACGTCGTCTGCTTCGTTGGATTTCTGTCGCCTCTGCCCCACGTTGCTACTCAACATAGTACCGGCACCGCTTGTGCTTCTTGAAGAACCGCTTTGGTGTCGCCGGTAAGGCTGCACCAGGCTGTTTCGTCCAAGAATCAGGGGAATCGCTTTCCGATGTCACCTCAGTGGGATCCATGACGGAAGACAAAGAGAGCGGGGCGCGGTGGTGGTGTCGATGACTTGGGAGGGTGCCGATTTGTCAAAACCCGAAAAGTATAATTATTCTTGTTTTGTATTCATCCAACAAAATAAAGGCACACATTTCGTGCGCAAAGCCCACAAAACTAAGTAGATCACTAAATATTTGTTATTTGCAGGAACTATAAGTGCTTCGCTTTCCCTCAATCGAAGGCGCTGGAAGACGGTATGTTAGACCGTATCTTGGACAGAAAATGAATTGGGAAGACGGTACATTGGACATGAGTTTCTTTCTTTACTAAACAGCTATTTCGTTGACAAAAACGTATTCTAACTTATTTAAATGTCCTGAATGAATTAAATAAATATTGTAGTAGTTTAAGACACGTTTCCTAGAGGAAGAAAAAGCAACGTTGCTAGCGAACTACTTTCTCGACGGCGGAGGCACTTCAGATGGGCGCAATGCGCTTGTGGGTGGAGCTAAAAGATTGTTCTCATGTTGCATCCGACTATAACTCCATACAATCGAAAATACGGCTATATGTTGATGACTGCGTACTTTACTCTGAAATTCATAACACGTCCGATTGCTTGACTTTGCAGAAAGATATCTGTCGTACACTCTAATCATGGTAACCTTTGTAAAGGTGCACGTTTTCACATTTTTGTGCACCTATAAGTTAAAGGTTACACAAATGTAACCTTTGCTAATGTAACTTTTGTAAAAGTTACAGTGGCAAAGGTTACCTCTAATTTACTTATAGAAAGGTTACAATCTCGTTAGCATTGTAACCTTTATAAAGGTATCTGCCCGCCAGAAAGTTATAGGTAACTTCCATGTGTTCGTGTAACCTTTGAGTGAAGCAACAGCTGGAATAAGAAATCCTTTTATTAAAAATGGCATTTTTGGCGAAAATTCACAAAAAGCATCCTGCTAGTTTGTGATTTGACCCGTACAAAAATAGGACAGCCCATAAAATAGTGAAAAACTAGAGAACAAAAAAAAAATACTGTAATATACAAAAACGGCAATTGATTCCGAAGTATCACAATATACATAATCACAAATTCCCGAGTCTGGGATACATCAATAAAAAGCTGTGATATAAATTACGTCCATAATGTAAAGGCACTATTATCGTAAGCGGTTAGCAGGTATCGTAGCATATATGCATCACAAAGAGCGCTGTTGAACGGTGTACAAAGCACTTTAGAATCTAAGGCCATATTATATCAGTGCTAGCCGCACACAAAAAAAAGTTGAAAATTCGCTTAAAGAAAGCAAATAAACTCACGTTAAATCTCACTTCGACAGAAGCTTCGGCTTAACCAGCATGGCCTTTACATCTATAGTTACGAAACCACACTGGCACTCGTACAACAGAACCGAACAGGAAAAAAAATGACTTATGTAAAACGATGTGTAAACACAGTTTAGCTGCTGTACGATAGACATAATGAACAAAATACAAGTGCTAAAAAATAATTCAAAACTGTAACTATAAAGTACATCACAGTTGTTAAAGGGAAACTATAATAAGAGCTCTGAAATGGATATATAGGCAGCACGGAAAACACAAGTGTATGAGCTGTAGAGTTGTTAATTTTTTTATGGTCTGTTACCCTATATTATAACACATGAACCTGTTAGTAAAACCTAAACCATGATTCGGTAGAATAAGGTGAACTTAAAGTGAACGGCACTTTAAAAATGACAACATTCACTGCAAGACAAGAAAAAGTATTCTGCGATTCAGAAAAAAGAAGTCAAGGAACCAGACGACATTTACTTCCCCATCTCAGGACGCAACCTATTTTTAACGGTATTTGCTTTCGAAAAGTCAACACAAATTGTTCTTCTTCAACATAATGAGCAAATTTTTCAGCCGGTTCGTGAGCAGTCCACGGGGCACTTTTGTGTCAGGTAGAGTTATCTTCTGCAGAAGACGAGCACCATGCAGACAAATCGCTTCCGACACCTAGTGCACACCAAAGCAACCTTGTTCATGTGCACTTCCCGAACATGTCGCATAAAGGCATAAAAATGCCTGCTGGTGAACCTGCACGCCACACAAACGTGTTTGCTGACCTTGGGTGCAGGTTTTGATGGCGCAGGAGCTTCATTAATGGCAAGTTGCTGGCTCATGTCTACAGGAAGGTCCGAAGGAGGTGGAGCTTCCACCCATAGTGAGCCATCTTTCGAGCAGCCAGGCTGTGCACTCTCTTGCAGCACTTCGGCAACTTCTCTCTCGTGGTCTGTGTTCCGTAGGTAGAACAAAGGGTAAAAACAGATGGGATCAGTTCACAACGAAGCGGGAAATTGCACTACTTTACTATTGGTTGCTTCACGCCGCCGATGCTGCACTGATGACTCAGTCGAGCAGGCTGGATTGCATGTTAAATAAAGCAAGGTCCATGCATACATCCATTCTGTAGCCAAGCAAGAAATATTTTCCTCGTGCGCGGAATACAGCACCAAGAACTTGTCATGCATAAATAAGCCCATAAGCATCGAAAATATGAACGGAATTCTAGAACTTACGTCTTGAACACTTATATAGCGATACACTGAAGGCTTGCGTAAATCAAGCATTAAAAGCATGCACGGTACCACTTTTCTCAAAGGCATGTGATCTGGCAGTAATTAGTGGTAAATTATTATCGTACCGGTAAAATGTAAACTTAAAAATCAGAAAGCAATAAAAAAAAAATCTGCATCGAACTAGCGGTTCATTTAGGACACAGTGATTGGCTATTAAGGCGCGACTTCAGTAAAATAACGGGATTTTTTAATATATATTTGCGAGCATGTTGCGCCCACCAACCTTTCGAACAATCAGGATGATACGGCTGTTGCACTTCACTCGGTCCATTTATCCCTGTGCCAACTATTGGTAGAATAGGTGGCACAGTAAGTCCTTGCTCTGTGTCACCTATTGGTAGAATAAAAATAAATAAATAAACATGACGGAATAATTGCACCACAAAACGAGATAATTGTTTGTCCTACACCGTTCATTCTGCACCACACCTTAAACGAGCAGGATGTTTTATTTCTTGACTAAAACAGGGATATATGCCTATATCAATTCTGCATGCCACACATTAAATATTTTCTTGTACCCTGAACGTAGTGCGAAAAGTTTCGGTGCAAAAGCCATTCCGCAAGGAGTGATAAGACGTACAGAGTTACAAAATTCAGTTACCAAAAATAATAATACCGCAGCCGTGCATTGCAAGCTTGCGCCTATGTAAAATGCACAAAAGCACGCATATCCCCACCGCGCGCGCAAGCGTGTAAATAGGCAGTAATTAGTCGTGCATTACCACCACACCGTTCACTGACGACACTAGACAGCTACGGCAGGGCTCATCTACAGGCATTGCACATAAAAAGAGCTAAATCGACACAGAGTGCCACGAGGACAGACATGCGCTCGTATAAAACGGCTCAGAATCATTTTGGTCCTAAATGCACACAAATAACGAGCTTTGAAAATGAGAGCTCGCACGTCGCTACTGCAACGGTTCCGCTAGGAAGAAACGTCACTTACCCAAATCGGTGATTCTTCTGTGAATGCTTGGGCAGTGATTGCAGTACTCACAACGAATCTTTGCCGCGCTTTCGTCTGATGGGCACACGACGACGTAGCGCTGACAGTCACACAAAGGCTCCCTGCAACTGCCGCGCAGTACACCCCACATGTCCCTGCTGGTTAGCGACATAACTGCTTCCGTGGTTTGTCGAAACAGACCGAGAGTCTTCCAACTCGCTCCGAACAGAGTATTGGCGCAAGAAATGTGCCGCCAAAAAATGGCGCTCAAACGGCCCGGGCGCACGCGAGACAGCCGCGACAGCGGTCACTCATTCCCGCCGTACTGACTTCCCAGCATGCAACACCGCTAAGCAACTCAGGCTTTCACAGCCATTGTTCTTCTTTGCTCTTCTTTTTATTGCGAAAGAATGCTGCCAGCAAGGCGTCCGAAAAAAAAAACAAAAAAACAACGCAACACAACGCGAAAGAAGTATACTTCTTTCGCGTTAAAACTAAAACTATAAAAATGAAACCTCGGAGCCTTGGTGGCCTTGTCGACGCGCTCCTCTGCTGTTTCCCTCTCCTGGTGAAAGAGGGACTCTCAACAGGCGATGTTTTCTTTTTTTTTTTTTTCGGACGAGAGTGCATAGGTTACTACGTTATTCATACGTTACTGCACAAAAGTTACATGGCTCTAATTCTCATGGTAACCTTTGCATCGTCAAATTTTGGCTGTTGTAACCTTTAGTCACCGCAAGAATAACGAAAACACGAAAAATAAACGACTTGTAACCTTTATTTTATAGGTTACTCACTACTAAAAGTTACGTTAAAGGTTACCATGATTAGAGTGTATCTCCGCCTGGTGTGAAAAATGGGGAATGATTTTGAACATAACCAAGTGTATTCATGTATGTTTCGCGCGCTAGAGACAACCTGTCACCTTCAATTACGTTATCAGTGAAATTTCTTTACCAACTGTTTCTGAAGTCAAATACCTCGGTGTCCATTTTACAGAAAACCTTTCGTGGGCCAAACACGTGGACTACACATCCACAATAGTGACGAGAATGCTGAACTTTATTATACGTAACTTTAAAGATTGTCCCAAGTTTACCAAACGAACGCTGTATCTAACCTATATTAGACCAATTTTAGAGTACGCCTGTGTCTCCTGGGACCCCCACCAGGCCTACCTCGTCAACCAGCTAGAGGCAGTTCAAAATAGAACAGCTCGTTTTATATCGGGTAATTATAACATTGGATCAAGTGTGACTCAACTCAAAATAGAACTTGATTTAATTCCATTATTCCAAAGAAGGCGGTCTATGCGGCTACAATTTTACTACAACATTTTTTATAGTTATCTCGGCATTGACAAATCTAAGTACATGCTGCCTGCCCACTACTCATCAGGAAGGCGTGATCACTCCAAAAAAGTGTGAGAGTATAAATGTAGAACGGATGTGTTTAAATACTCCTTCTTTCCATACACAAAGAGCACCTGAAATTCGCTGCCAGAGGAAATAATTTCTACAACTTCTGCCACTTCTTTCTTTAACCATGTGTTAAGTGATGCTTCATAAACCTAAAAACAATTGATATTATTATCTCATGTTCAGCCTCGCGCTTTTTGTACTTTTTTGTACTTCTTTTACTTTTTGTACCTTTGTACTTTTTCTCAAATGTATGTGTACCCCTCCCTCGCAATAATGCCTTTGTAGGCGATGCGAGGTATTCTGAATAAATAAATAAATGCGCAGTGGTGAACCGATGATGGCATGTTAGTGGAAGTATTATGGCTCCGTGTTTGACGAGCGTAAGTGTTATGACACTGAAAGAGGAAATTTTTTGGCTGCATGTATAGCGATTGTAAGCATGTCGGCAAGATACAGGAACCGTGCGGGTTGCACGCATGACGATGAAAACCTGTGATGGATCTTGTTTGAAGTATATAAGCTGCCTGTTTGTCTCCGTTTAGTTTTTCCAATAGGGCTTGCTGCTTCAGCGAGAGGTCCTTTTTGCGGAATAAGTTGTACCTGAAATAAAAGAAACATATTTTTCTTAGCCTTTAGCTAGAAACACTCATATTTTGAGTGAAGATGATTACACGGACAACTCTCTATACAGAAAACAACAATTTGTTTTTTTGAATTTCCATCCACGTTTGATCTACATCAGCTCCTAGTCAATGGGGTTTGATATTATGTTGCACTGACATAGGAGGTGAGTGCTTATTTCGCGGATGACAGAGGAGCAGGCTGCCTGGCTCCATAGTCGCAGTCACACTGTCCCATTGTTCGCATGGGGTGTTGTGCCACCTGCGGACTCATATAGCCTCCGTGCTCCCTTGAAAGATGCTGTTCAAAACAAGATACTTGCGCCAGAGAATCTTGCAAAAGGCTCTCAGTCAAGTGGTGGAATTCGAAATGCCCGTCCCCAACTTAACCACGGGTAGGTCCTTGGGGTAAATTAGCAGACAATTCAATTCTTAATCTCACTTTAAAGTTGAGGCCTATATCTGTGCTGCATGAGCTGTACCTGATCCTGGCCTTTCGTGCTATGCTGCCCTTGCTATCGTTCAGAAAATGAGCAGAACGGTTGCGATGGTTGCAGAGTTAGTATGTTTTGCCCACCGTGAGCCTAGTTGGATAATTTGCTTGAATCACCACAACTTTATGGTTTATTAAACAAACCAGACTTTCCCGAACTAAACAGTTTTCAAAACTAAACACATCCAGAAATGGAAGGCAACCGTTCGGCTCCCGTTCGACTGTGAATTGAATGTCTGGTTCGATGAAATTAAGGAGTTTGTGAACGCGATCGACTTTGGTGGTCTTGAAAGCACAGAAGGAATCTTTCATATCACGTAGAAGCAGAGTGGATATGGGCGAAAACGTGCTTAAGGCTCTTTGCTCAATGGCTTCCATTGCGAGATTGGCTACCGTGACGGACACTGCAGCACCCATTGCTGTGCCAATACTTTGCTTGTAGAAGTGACCAGAGAAAGAAAAGTATATAGGTGTTCGTCAGGCCCAGTTCTAGCAGGAGTCATATTCGTTTACCGAGAGGTGGGTTCTTTCAGATTCTGTCTCACGTGAGCGCCTTCTGATAACGAACACCGCGAGTCGGATGGGAATGCTCGTGAAGAGAGATACCACATCAAAGGAAACAGGGCTTTCGTCATCGTTCAGTTTCATGTCCGAAGCGGAATCGATGAAGTGGGTGGTGTTCTCGACATGCGTGTTGGTCTTTTTCATGAGTGGAAGAAACAGACGACGGAGATAATGTAACAGCGCTCCTAATGGTGACGTCGTAAAATCGACTATAGGACAAAGCGGGATTCCATGTTTGTGGATTCGAGGATTCTTGGCAAGCCGTAGAATGCAGGTTTTGCGGTTTGACCAAAAATCCACAAACCGGGAATCTCGCTAATCTCGCTTCGTCCTATAGTTGAATTCACGACGTCCTCAATACGAGCGCTGTCAAATTACCTCCATCGTATATTTCTTCTACTCATGGGAAAGAGCAACACGCTTGCCGAGAACATCGCCCACTTCATCGATTCCGCTTCGGACATGCAACTGAACGATGACGACAGCCCTGTTTCCTTTGATATGGTATCTCTCTTCACGAGTATTCCCATCCGACTCGCGGTCTCCGTTATCAGAACGGCACTCATGTCAAACACAACCCTACGTGAAAGAATCCACCTCTATGTGAATGAGGTTTGCCGTCTACTAGAACTGTGCCTGACGAACACCTACTTTCTTTTCACTGGTCGCATCTACGAGCAAAGTAGTAGCACAGCAATGGGTGCTACTGTGTCCGTCAGGGTATAGCCAACCTCGCAATGGAAGCTATCGAGCAAAAAGCCCTAATCACATTTTACCCCGTACCCTCTCTGCTTCTACGTTACGTGGATGATTGCTTCTGTGTTGTCAAGACCAGCGAGGTCGTCCGCCTTCACAAACATGTCAGTTCCATCGCACCAGACGTTCAATTCACAGTCGAACATGCGTCTAACGGTTGCCTTTCATTTTTGGATGTGTCCGTGGAAAAAGAGGAAATCATTTAACCTTCCAAGTATTCAGGAAAGAAGCGCACACCGGTCGCCAGCTGAACTTCTTGCCAGACCAACCAACAAATCAGAACTCCCATGTGGTGTCGGCGCTCTTTCTACGCGCCCTTACGGTCTGCTCAACAAGGAAGTCACTATAAACTTTCAGCCTTTCAACTCTGGTAGAGAAGGAAGACCAGCGAAGCTGTACGCTCGTCCCATGTGTTTCTTCTTCGTCGTTGTCTGTTTTGCGCGCTGTTTCCTACGATGAATTCCCACCAACTCGCCCAACTATCCATTCTTCTATGATTGCTGGAAAGGTTGCCACCATCTATGAGTGACGGCGGGAACCAGACTTGTTGTTTGGTTGCCGCCGTCGCTCGTAGATGGCGGTAGCTGTCGAGAGTTTTGTGCAGTATTGTGTCGACATTTGTTTGGGACCGGTCACGAAACTGGGGAAACTAGCCCTTAACAGCTCCGCTGTAAAAATGGAATTCGATCTTATAAAACGAGACATTCGAAGAAACAACTACCCAACAAAATTCGTCGACAAGACATAAAAGAAACTACGTCACCCTTCTGCTGCCAAGAACAAAAACGTCTCCAGCCGCATGTGTGTCCTGTACCTCCATGGCACAAGTGAGGTCCTTGTCCACGCCCTGAAACCGTACGGCATCGCAGTTACACATAAGCTTTTCTCAATCATAGGGCTTCCTTTTCTAAAGCATCCTTCCCCAAAAGAAAAAAAAAAGACTTAAGAGCTGATTTACTGAATTCCTTGTGCTGAATGCAACGTTTCATATGTGGGGGAAACGGAAGAACTTTTCCGAACGTCTGCCCAGACCTAAGTTTGACGTGAAGAAGAAAGGTATCCAAGGCAGCGCGCAGGCGGAAGATGCTGCGAAGGCCGGACACGTAATAGCCATCGACAGCAGTCCCGTCCTCGACAGATAGAGAACTTGGAGGAAACGGCTCTTGTTAGAATCTTGGCATATACAAAACACGATCCACAACCTGAACCGATCCACCGCAACGCTGCCAAGCAGCTATATACACGGGCTACGATGCGCCACACACGAAAAGAGAAGAATACAAAACCGACAGGGAGAAGAAGATAGAAACGAGAGATTGCTACTTTTTGGTCCTCATACAGTCAGTCACCCGTGAACACTGAGTCGGGCCGGCTTGCAAACGTCGGGCGGGAAGAGAAATTGGTTGGTGTCTACTAAGTACCACTTTTACACTCACATTATTTTTCATTTGCAGTTTAACTCTCCGAGAAGGCAAACGGGTGCTACCACGACGTTCAACTTCAATTTGCCTCCATGTCTAAACACGCATGATCAAAGACTAATAGAATATAGAGG